GTCCAAGAGACGATGAACATCAATAACCTTCCCAAGGTACTCCCTCTCGAGTTCTTTTTAGAGATGGTATCCAGTCTCCCTGGAATAACATTACCACGAGCATTGCGTGGATGTTTACGTGGAGAAATGGAATGCGTGTTAAAGGGCTGTCCACGTAAACCACAACATTCGTTTCACAGAATTGGCTATTTCCAGACCGTCCTGTGATTTCCAAAATCTGGAGTGTTCTTCTAAAAATAACTTCAGTGGCGAGGGATAGCTTGGAAATAAGGCCTATATGGGGGGATTATCTCTGTTACTCTTCATCCACTCTTGGTTTACTCCATGTCGTTTTCTGTGGGTCATAGCTGCACGAGTAATATTTGACTCGGTATAATCATTCACTCGTTCGTTATGTTGTTTGTCAGGGAAGACGATCAATGCAAAAAAGACACGACGGCACGAATTTATAATTTATGAAAATATCAACCGTCAGAATTAATTACCATAACAAACACCAGTAAAAACCAATAAATTTTGCAATAAGAACACTCGTTTAAATATTTAATTTTGGAATTTCTTCATTCGAATTTTGGTCGGTCTCTCTGATTTGGGGAACGGAGATGACTTGACATTTCTTTTCATGGCTCAGTTTAACCAAAAAGTGTGGGATATATTAGAAACGAATGGGAAAACTGTAATTAAGAAAACAGTGTCAAATTTTGAACGAGAAAAAAAAAAGGAATTTTTCAAAGCGAAATTACAGCAATTTAACCACACGTCTTTGTCTTTTGTAGCAGTGTTTTTGTTTGGATTTTATATATTCTTTGGAATTGATTGGTGTTTGCTTTTGATCCTGAAATGTCCATTTCCTATCCGCATCAGGAATCAGGAAACTTAACCCATCTTTGGCTCTCCTGTCGGAAAGTGAGGTCTTTGTCTAACTTTCGTTTCATGCCTGAAAACGTCGATGAAAGACCGTAATAGATCATCAATCTCGAGACAGGCAAACAATCGTCCATTTGACATCACAATGATTATAGTAAATATGGTATTTACTTTTTAAAGACTTCTCCGATATTAAAAAGTCGGGCCACTTTGTTTGTAGTTCGTTGATCCTCTTGGATATCACGTACTTGGGTCAGTTATATGCTTGCGCTGTTTAAAACAGGTTCGATATCAAAGCTTATTTATCGCCTAGGAAGTGTGATAAGCTCTTACAGACTGATGGAGAATTCTACATTGGAGGGAAATTTTGAATCAAATTATCCACTTGGATTGAAAATCCTCTTCTACACTGCGTTTATAATTTCGCTTCCCTTGACTGTTTTCGGTAAGTTGCTCTGCACTTCACTCTGTTTTCACTGTTGTTGTTAAAAGTTGTAAACCTTTCTTCCTTCTCTAGTCAAGAATGCAAATTTCTTAATTCAAAAACGTCGAGAAATGAGCGAGGTAGCTCTGCATTGTTCACTCAAGACTGCATTGATAGTTTTAATAGAATTTTAACGAAATGAGGGCTATCTTAACGAAGTCAGTTTTTCGTTTGGTTAGCCATAGAATAGAAGACATGTAACAAAACTTCCAACAGTATGACGCGTTTATTAAGACAAGACTATCATTCTCATTATTTTCACTTCACGATGTAATTTTAGTTGATTTTCAAACTCGCCTGAGTAAACCAACAGGCACATTTACGACCGACTGCGACCGGCCACAAAAATGTTCAAGTACTAAGCGGGTAAGATCGAAAAGAATCGGCTTCGTATATTTCAAAACTCTACTATCCAGTGGTAACCCTAAATTTCTTTACAATTTGCGGGGCAAAATGAACAACCAATCGATCTGACTACCGCTTCTTTTGTTTGCTTAAAAATGTCTGCCTTAAGAGGCGATAAATTACAGTATCTCCGATATCTACTTCTTTTATTCCTTGTCTACTTCTTTTATTCCTCTAGTCTCCAACGAATTAGGGAATCACGGAAAACTGGTATTTAATAAGATCTCGATCCGAGATTGTGACGGGGATTGTGACCTGCAGTACTAACGATAACTGCACACAACTTAATACATTTGGTTCAATTTAATCTCGCGAGAACCCGATATCCTCGTGCGTTAGTTTGTTCGCATTTTCAGAATACAAAACGCGAGCCTGGAAGCTAGTGTTTCAGCTGGTAGCAGTAGAACACATCTTTCTAATGTCCTAATGTAGCTTGTTAAATGAAAAATCTGGGACGTTTCAGAAATTGAGGAGGGCGGCACTTGTTTGCTATTATCTAAATCTTTAACAAACGTCGTTTTCGATGGCCATTTCCCAAAGAGGAGACTTAATGGAAATAAAGGAAACGTTTTGACAAAAGGCTGTAATTGAAGAACAGGCAATTTCCGTATTACAAAAAAAAAATACCGGCAATATATGAATGATCCGTCGCTCTTTTGGCAGGAGCAAAAGTAATAACGGAAACACCGGGGACATATCGACAGATTTAAATTAAAGTACCCGTTAATTTGATGTGCAAACGAGTTGTCGGTTTAACTTATTTCAACGACGTGCGAAAACTGGATGTATTTTAATATTGAAATATAAGGGATATTACGTTCTTTAGTTATTTCAATAACGAAACCAATCAGAATTAAACAAAAGCGAAGTATCATTCCTTCAAAAGAGACCTTTTATTAACACTCGCTGTTCCAGACACCAGCAGTGTAAATCTACAGGATATATATTTTTAATGTTAATCCCTCCACAAAGGCGCGAGTTTTATTTTAATCAATAGAAGTCGAACACTCTTAGAGTCAACTTTATTCAACTCTGAATGAAACTCCGTTGGGTTAGCGTGTGACGAAGCAAGTGAAAGCTTCTGAGCAGTGTTTTCATGTGATGCTGTGTATTGTACTGTGCAAGATGGCTCTAACTTACAAGTCTGTGGGTGAGATCTCAGTGTGTCGCCATTCAAATGAGAGGTCATGGAACATACAATCAGTCAAAGTTTCGTTTGGTGCTGTTTGTTTTTCAATATTGTAAAACATGAAATTAAAGATCTATTTTTTCTCAAGTTTAAACATTACCACCTTTGGGTGCGCCGAAAAGGCGAAAGAAACGACCCGACAAAATGTAACTTTAACTGAACTTGCGTGAGTGATTTTAGTCATGACTGAGAGGTTTTTGTTGTATTTTTTTCTCTGGTAAAATTTAATATTTCTTCGAAATGAGCAGTCTTACTGTCTCGTTTCAAATTAATCTTAAGCAAACAACTCACAATGGGAATTGGGCCTTGATTCTTTTATGCAAATGTTCAAATTTTGGCCATCCTTCAGCTGTCCAAATGAATTAATTTGTTTTAATCTCCTGAAATGAGTTTTTCATCATATTATACTTATTCTTGTCGTCTTGAAAACGCACGATACTTGAAACGGAAAGACGTATTTGAATAGTTGAGCGGTTTGGTTTCACTCGCCGCAAAGAAGACAATCGCCACATATATCGATATCTTTTTGTACTCTGCTTTATCAAACAAAAGGCTTACTATGTGAAAAGAAGTGGGCTAATCAAACATTGAAAAATAGAATTAATCGAAATGGAACACCCAAGAAACAACAATAACAGAAATGATATGATATGAGCTATGAATTCATTGTAAAAATCTCAAAACGGTTCTGGAGGATATTCGGCTCACAATTCATTACGAGTCGGCTTATTTCATACGAATTCATGTATATCGTGTCGCAATATTAGGCGTATTGTTTTCGCAGCCAAACGAGGGATCAAAATTAATCAGATGTTTGTTCGGCAGCGGGTGGTTAGAGAAATATTAAACAGTAACCTAAGATATACTGCCAAAGATATTGACTCTTTCATTGTTGGAACTTTTTTCTGTCAAAGGCGCCCTTTGTACACTGCATATTTTTTGTGTTTTCTCTTTTTCAGTGTAGAGTTTCCGTTTAATTTAAAAAGCGTAGTTTTCAGTATTGTCTGAGTCAGATTGAGAAATGCTAATAAGTGCTCCTTACACCAGTGAACTCGTCACATTGTACAGCGATTATTATGCGTTAGACTTAGAAAAGAAGGTTCAAATATAGCATTATAACAATCAAACTTGAGTGAATGTAATCAGGTAGTTTGTAAAAGTTTTGATTAAATATAATGATTGAAATTATTATCTCTGAGTAGATTTTTTAGAAGAAAAATCCCTGCGACAACCTTTCACTTTTCAGCAAAACTTTTCTTTCGTTCATTTTCTCCCATCCTGTGTTCCCATCTTACATCTGTACGTTGCGTCGCGCGTTGCTGTCCAGAACTTGATCCATGGACGTCCTCTGTGAGATGTCAGCGTATGTGGGACTGAAAATTACAGTTATGGATCTGAAGAGAGCCCAAGGTGAAGTGTCTTGGGTGATTAGGACTTACTATCTTCCCTTTGTCAGACCGAAAACTCATGTCAAATTTATGTCAGAATTTTTCACTTAACAAATTGGCAAATTAATTAGACACCTCCTTTTCCATTAGCTTGGCATACAGAACTCAAACATGCGACAACTCCTGTTGCAAAAAGTATGGGGTAAATATGGGGTAAATATGGGATCAATATCGGACAAATATCAGTCGTCTTTGTAAAATCGTTGTCAGAGGTTTCGTCACTTTTTTTGAGTTTCACCTGGACTTCTGTAATTATTGTCACAACTTACTTTCCTCAGGGAATGGTTTTGTCATACTAGCAGTTGTTATTAACAAGAAGCTCCGTTCAGCCACCAATGCCTTGATAGTCAGCCTGGCCTTTGCTGACTTGCCTGTGGGTGTGGTCATCTTTCCTCTCATATCAATCACTCAGAAATACGGACCAAGTCTGCAGTGTGGCCGACAGTTATGTCACAGCACCATCGTCCTCACGGAAGTGTTCCTGAGCGCTTCGTGTCTGCATCTGTTATTCATAAGTGTGGATAGATACATAGGTGAGACAAACATGTTATAATGAATAGGATCTCTATTTGTTTGTCGCTCTGGGAATGGCACTGATATTAAACGCAGCCTATCTCAGTTGGACAAACTATCGGGGCCCGTGAGGCAAGGCAGATTACAACACCCTAAATCTCCATTTAATTGCACAGATCTGACTGAAAACATTTGATTGAGATTTTTGCCATGCTTTGTTGGGACGAAGCAGGACGCATTATATTTATCTATTTATAACAACTTCATTTGCATCAAACATATATAAATATCTACATGCAAATATGGTGCCAGCAGGGAGAAACTTAGTCCTCATATAAAGCTGAACCCCTTGATTAAAAATATGTAAACTACACTTAAAATTCTAAAGCGGTAGATAAATGTATCAGTCAGTTAGAAAATACTGTGAACATGCTATGCACCCTATGAAATACCAGACGAAATACATTACTGCAAAACATACCTCTTAGCGTAAGAATGTGTGGCATGGCTTAGCTATAAAAAAGAAAAAACGCCGGGGGACCAAGTTCATTTACTACTGTTTTATTCCAGAAGTAAAAAATAAAAGTATCAGCTCTCTAAACTATCACTTCAGAATATCGACACAAAAATACGCCATGCTAGCAAACCACCGCGGCTTTGTTCTATTTCCCAATCCTCGGTGGTAGGAATAAAAATGGCGACTGGTACATTTACCCATAATTCTTAGCGCACGAAAACCCTAGCAACGCTCGTGAGAACGTACAAAAAAGTTCTAAAACCTTCAAATCCAGTACTCACAGTGTCTTTAGTACAGGAACAAATACTGCAAAAATGGGGCTTTCCTTGTGCCTGATGGGCTGTGTTATGTTCGCAAGGTATTGTGGTAAAATGTACAGCCGCCGTCTGTTTTTTCTTACGGAGGATTCAGTCAAAGGTGTACACCATTCGACGGTATCTGCTCCGGCCGTCTTTATCTCCCTCCTTTCCAGAATTTACTCTTTGGCATTTTCGTGATTCCCTTGCAGCGATAAACAACGCCCTCCGTTACCACACCATCGTTACGTCCAGACGCATCACTTGCGTGATTGCTTTCATCTGGAGTCTGTCCCTAATCGTGGCTGTGTTTCCATTCCTTGGCTGGCGGGAGGTCCGTCCTCGGGTGCTTGGAGGCTACTGTCAATATCATCTCAATCTCGCTCCTAGCTACATTCTATTTTTACATGTCACGGTCTGCCTGACACCGCTGACCACCACCTGTCTAGCTTATTGTAAGATATTTCAAGTTGCACGACTGCAGGCTCAGAAAATTGCTTCCATGACGGTAAGATTTAGTTGTGTAGTATGATACTTCCTTTGTTAAGATCTTGTCACCAAGCAGAATAAGGGTAACCTGGGCGTCCACATCCAAGATGGCAGCTCGTCGTCAGAGCGGCTCCCATCTTGGATTCGAATACCGTAAAAGCCTGGGGACGAAGTTCGATCCATGCTTCTCCGTATTGAATTTGTGTCTGTGTTTGTTTCGTGCAGATTAGTGGGACTGAACAAGAAAGATGTCGAACGAAATTGGACAAGGAGCGTAAAATCACTCTGTCGGTGGCTGTTGTAGTGGGAGTGTTCATACTCTGCTGGGGCCCACTAAACATCATGCTTATCATCTACTGCGCATGTCAGAGTTGCGTCTCTTCCATTGCCATGGAGACCGCTGAAGTGTTTTCCATGTTAAACTCGGGCTGTAATCCTCTCATCTACGGCACGTTTAACAAGGACTTTCGCAGAACTTTCAAGGCCATGTTAAGATGCCGCTGGCGTCAAATAAGCCGCGAAGAGATCGAAGGCTCAACCCATGTGGCTATGAACACATCGAAGGCTTCTGTTAATGGTGCGAAATAGGGGCAATAAAAGTTACTGTATAGTTAGCTAATGAACAGAAAGGACTAGTTGTCGAAACCAGCTTGTTCGATGCGTTAGAGGTTTTGAAAGAAATGAAATATTAAGACTATTAAGGCAATTAAAACTGAATTTTTGGCATAATCAAAGAAAGCTGCTAATTGGATTATTACGAAAAACTGTGCTCCTCGCTTTACCTCCTCGTCTTGATTCAGCCAAACAAAATGACTTGAAATTAAACAAAAAAGGCAAGCAGTTTTGATAATCTGCCTTTCTCAAGCTTTTATTTTGAGCACAAAAGCTTAATTAGTTAACCGTGCATAAGATTCATTTCAATTCTGCTTTAAAACACAAAACGTCTTTTGTTTACCAGGGGTCAGTGTTGCGTGTCGGAATGTTCTTTGTGAGGTTTATTATTCCCTTAGCAACTGTCCGGCTAAAAACACAAAGGTTAATAGCCGCATCATTTACGCAAGAAAGCACGACATCGCGATACACTGTTTGTTGCCACTGTATCCGAGAAAAGTCGTTCCAAAGTGTTTTAATTGTAGCTTATATTGGACTGCTGGGTGTGCCAAAATCACGAGAACTTCCACGCACCATGAAAGCATCGTTAGTCAATCCAACGATGGCAAGGCTTAAAGAAGCGATTTGCGACGGAAGAATGTACCAAACACGGCATCTTCTAGAGAGCGGAGTGGACGTGAATTTCTTGGACGAGCAAGGCTTAACTCCCCTTATGCGGGCTGCGCAACTACCTGACGAAAAATCCCGCACACGTCACAATTTGCTGAAACTTTTGTTGCAATACGGTGCGAATGTCAACATCGTTGATCAGAAGGGGCGACACGTGTTGTCCAGAGCTTGTATCGACGAGAAAGATGACATCGTCAGGCTTCTGTGTAACGTCGCAAACCAGGATGTTGATTTAAATTTGCGAGACTTTGAAGGAAACACTCCTCTGATGCATTCTGTTCGTGCAGGTAACACCGCATTAGTGAAGTTCCTTGTTGACGAACTGAACAAGTTTCAAGTTGACATAGATGTTCGAAATGACGAGGACAGGACGCCTTATTTAGAGGCTAAACGACTGGGGTATGAAGAATGTGCTGCTATTTTGTTGAAAGAAGGAAATGCTTCGCCGAACATTCAGGTGAATCCATTCTTGGACTTCATGCTCTTGAAAGACGAGGTTTCTTGGAGAGGTAGGGTTAGAGGCGTTGAGGAGAGTAAATACAGGATTAACAGTTCCGATGCCGCGAAAAAAAAATTTAATCCGCGAGATATACAAAAGAAGAAGACCCCTACAAAGAAGAACGCTAATTTCTATGACGAGAAATCGGTGACATACCACGAAAAGATCTTGAAAAGAAAAACAACTTCTCCTAGAAGAATCACTAGTGCAAATTTAGCAAAAGACGATGCCAAAGGTGCTGAAAAGTTACGGCCGACCCGTAGGCGAAAACTTGCCTGGCACGCACGATATATGACGGAGCCGATATCACACAAAGAGGAAATTACAAAAGAAAACGAGTTGATCACAACAGGATCAGTAGAAACGGCAGGGGACGTAGACAGTGTAATTGGGGTCAGGTCCTCGCTGCAAGCTAAAGCCTCTTTTATAGAGAAACAAGAAACTGCAAGTTCAAGACTAGAAACGACTCTAGTAAATGATACAATATCAAGTCTAGAGTTTACTCGAGCAGAAAAGCACCGTCAGAGTCCAAAAATAACTCCCAAACTACATGCAAACTCCGCTAGTGTAGGCCGAAAATTGACAGAATCGCGGCCAGAATTGTCGATGGCAAGGAAACATTTACGATCACATTCCCTCGTCAACATCAAGTCAAAAGATGCCATGGATGACAATTTTAGCTGGTACTCGCATTTTAGCGTTTATAATTCACCATCGGTGTCTTTTCTGACGAAAATAATGACCATATACGCAGAGCAAATGTCTCCCGACTCTTCCTTTCGTTTCGGTGTTAACCCAGAAAAAATGACGAAAAAACCCGACGAGCCGATGGTGCCGAAAATCTCAGTAGCGGCCACCGAGACCGGAGATGACTTGCGGTCTGAAGGAGACCGATCCTCTCCCTTAAGGTCTTCGTTGTCAAGTCGTAATAACAGCCCTACAGGCTCGGTGTCGAGTCGGAGATTTCAGTCGGCAGTAACGCGCACTGTCGCCTCATATCTGACTGGGCCGAAACGATCTCTTTCAACGTTGAAAGTACAAGACGTAGATTTCTAAGAAATAAGTGCGGTGTGTCTCGAACTGTGACCCGCAGCCTGTAAAGTGGATGAACAACTCAGTAAAGCTTTGTCAACTTGACATTCGTATAAACTGCAGGCAAACATTCCTCAGTTTTGCGTGTTTTTTTTTTAACTCCATTCACAATGTAATAAAGTTAAATAAACTCATTGGCGTATGTAAAGTAGTTGTTTTGTTTTGGTTTAAGTCTGTAATCTCTCACTGAGTTTCAAGCCTTTTCCCTGTTTACCCACCTACTATACCGGAAAATACTTGGTAGATTGAACTTTGTAAACTAAGGCCAGCTTTTTTTGCGTTGTGCGCTAAAAATGCCGTAGTTGGCCAAATAACGTGCGTGGGAAAAAAGAGAAGGAAATGACGCGAGGGTAATTATGCAACAAACGTCTGCCATGCGAGTAAGATGAGTTGCACTGCTATTTCCTTTGACGCAGGAAGGATATTGAAGGCTTCCTTTCAAGTCTGCTTTATTGCAATCGTCATTTTAAAAAGTAAAGTGTTCTTTCAAAGAAATTACGTCAATCTTGTTCCCAGTCTTGTCGCTTTCATTTTTCACGAGTGAGCCTGGGGAAGGTTCATAAACAGCAAGCTCGTTCGCTTTCGTGTGTTAAAACGCTAATTTATGGCAACCGGAGTCCTATATGT